GAAATAATGGCTCTTGCTCTGGAGAAAGAAAGAAGTGCTGAGATTTGGTTAGCCTTCGAGTAAACTAATAGGAGAGTGAAGCAATTTCAAGATGAGGAAGTCAAACAAAAATGACAGCACAATATACAGATATCTTTAGGACATTTAAAAAACTTTAGAATTCATGAAATTATCAGAATACAGATTCCCTGAAAAATACAGACATTATCTATCAAGTGCAGAGTGGGACTGCTGAAAAATTCTGGTCCTAGTCTTTAAACCCCAATCTGAAAAACAGTCTTGAAGTTTTGAGGAGGAAGGCTAATTAATCAGATTCATCCCAGACCCACTTGAGCAGTGAAAAAACAGAAGCAGAGTACTGCAAGAAACACAGCACTGACAGAAGTTCCACAACCGATGCATACACTTGATGTGTAACTGCTTTCCCAGGAGAATCCTAGCTCAATATGCACACGACATGGTGGAACTACAGACACCCCTGGAACTGCCCATTCCATAGGGCAGTGAGAACAGGCAGCACAAGGAAAATGAGGACATGTTTACATCACGTTTTCAAGAGGCAAGAAGAAGGTAGCACAGGTGGTTTGGGAAGTCCCTTGATTCAGAAATCCAACTCCAACTCTGCTTTTGCTGGGTGTGATAGAACGGTTGCTTAGGGAATTTCTAAATCCTAAGGGAGGCTAAAACCCAACTGCAAGGATGGTGGTCAAGAACAAACCAGAAAGTCCCCTGCCAACTGTAATACATGAAACAAACGACACAATCAGTATGATTATAAAGAGCTGGAGGTTTCTGTCCTGAACACTGATTGCAAGATTTTTTAAGTATCTTGTTGAGTGGCAAGAATGGTGGCAGACTAAGTGTCACAAGGCCCAGCAGTATGCCAGAAAGTGGCAGGAAATAGGAGCTTGGAGAAATTAGAACTCAAAACATTCAGGACAAATGTGGGAGAACACCCTTTTCTCCAAGGATGGCAACAGTGAGGAGGAAGAGAGAAGGCTTGGTACTCTGGCATGTAGTTTCATTTCGTGGAGATTGCCCCTGATGAATGCAGAGGTTCTTCACCACCTTTGGGCTAAAACCACAGTGAGAGTGAGCAACTTCTTCCTCAATTACTCCCCACAGAGGCCTTGGGACTTGTGCTCCAGGAACACAGTGATCTTACCCCAAGGACTCAGGAGAGGATTTTGGGTGGTTTCTTCAAAGAGAACTGAGACAAGAAAAATAGAATAATGATCTACCTGTGTGCCCACTGGGATTAAGCTTAGGTTTTTTTAGGAGAGTGAAGAATTTGTGCACTATGACCTTGTCTGTTTTGAAAGGGGAGTCACAGTAAGGGACAGGTGGTGGCATTTCCCATCTCAGTTCCTGTCTCAGTTCAATAGGAAGACAAAGACACTGACTTAAGTAGAAGGTACAGGAGAAAATGCCAGGAGAGGCCAGATATGGCAGGAGCAGTGGACAGCCTGGCTAAGGGGTGGAAAGGAGCCAGATCAGGTATGGAACAGGTGGGAAATCTCAGAAAAGAAATGTCAGCTAGAACTGCTAACTCCGTCTTGTATTTTTCAGCCTGAATCTCCTACCCTTCATCCCCAAGCTATTTGTTTCGTCAGATTTCCTTTCTTTACATATATGGGCTCTTTGAAAAAAAAACAAGGTGGGAATTCCTTATTTCTTATAATTGTACTGATCTGCTATGTTAGATCAAGAAAAAGCTTTTGAAGCTGGGTGTGGTGGCACACATCTGTAATCACAGCTACTCAGGAGATTGAGGCATGAGGATCTCAAGTTTGAGCTAAGCCTGGGTAAATTTGTGAGACCGTCTCAAAATTTAAAAAGGGCTGAAGGTGTAATTGAGTGGGATGGTGCTTGCCTAGCATATGCGAGATCCTGGGTTCAATCCTCAGTAACAAAAAAAAAGCACTTTTGAGTATAGAGACCATAATTCTTTAACATTCTGCTGACCAAGGTATCATAAGCTTTACATGCCATAAAACTATCTGATCACCTTTAGTTCCACAATGTGCATGATGATATCTGTATGACTAGCATTTCATGGGGTACAGAATTAAAACGACAAGTGCAAATGTACATCATATAGTGCCTCTTAAAAGGAAATATATTTCAAATGTGAAAATAGTGAATTTTAGACTTCAAAGGTTACAATTACAGAAAAACAAGAGGGTATACAGCACAGGAACAGAACAGGCCACAGGTGGAGCAAGGCAATCCCTGGTGTGTGATGAAAAGGAACAATTCCTGCTGTCCACTTTAGAGGGGAAGAGACTGTGAGAGAAAACTGAGAAATAAAAGTAAACAGTATGATGAAAAAAAATTGAGCATTACCATGAGAAAGTGAGCTGTATTTTATTAGTAGTATTTCTGAGGCCAATTTATATATGTATTAGTTATATGAGTCTCACTTAAAATTGAACTAAGGAAAATAGATATTTTTAGGATGCTTTCAGAAAGAGAAGAATGGAAACATCTGTATTGTTGTACAAACTGAATTACAGCTACTGAGAAATGCTAAGGCAGGAAAAATAGCATTTGACCGAGAAGGGGCTGAGGAACAGGTGACAGCAAGCAGCCTGGCCTCTGAAAAGTCATAGCTACAGACTTTGCAGAGGGGGAGCCCATTGCTATGAACAAATACAGAAGTCCTGTTTAGAGAAAAGGATTGTATACCTGGATCCTCAGAAACAGTGAACCCCATTTACATGAGAAAAGAAGTTTACTAGGGTACATGTAAAAACAAGAGGACCCAAGAGATAAAAAAGATGCTAAGGGCTGGGGATTTAGCTCAGTGGTTCTGGCGCCTGCCTTGAAAGCACAAGGTCCGGAGTTCAATCTCCAGTACCAAAAAAACCCCCCCAAACAAAACAAAACAAAACAACAACATAAAAGATGCTAAAATTCACTAACTTCACAAAATGATGATAATGTTAGCGGGAATTGGGTCATTTTGGTTGCAGAGAATTTAGAATATGCAAACATAATCAGTATGTATTTTAAAGCTCAAAGGTGGTATTATACTTGAAACTACCTGCTAAATGTCAAGTCTATGCATCTGGCAGGCAGTGTAGTATTGAGGAAGACAGATAGCTACATGGACCTGCGGTCCACAGAGACTTTTAACAGCTTTTTAAGCCAACTAGTCTTAATGATCTGCCCAGGAAAACCTGGCAAATGTTGCTAACAGCAATTTGACTACCAGAATTGCTTGACTTGAACTGTAAGTGATTCTGAGGTACCTGCCCAGCCCCTCTGGGAGAGGTATGGCCACCGAAGCAGTTGGAGCAATTATACCCCGACAATTAATATCTGACTCTGATGGCAAAGTGATCAAACACTCCCTAGTGGACAATAATTTGTCTTCAAATACTTTCACGAAAGTATACAATTACCCATTTAAGAATGTAAATGAGGGATTTAGCTCAGTGGCAGAATGTTTGCTTAGAATGCATGAGGCTGTAGGTTTGATCCCCAGCACTGCCAAAAAAACAAAAAACAAAAAAGTGTGTGTGGAGGTTGGCTACTGGAAAATGAAATTATGAGTTGCTGGTTAAAATTAAAAGGAAATAGGGCTGGGGATTTAGCTCAGTGGTTTCACTGCCTGCTTTGGAAGCACAAGGACCCGAGTTCGATCCCTGGTACCAAAATAAATAAATAAATAAAAGGAAATAGCACATACATGAAAGGATGGGAGGAAGAAATATAGGATAAAAATAATTTGTAGAAAGAACTCAAAATGAATGAAGAATGGAATGTCATGGAATTATAATTAATGCAACTTTCCTAACTCCATAAACAATTAAGAGTGCGGACAAAGGGTAATATTTTGATTGGACTTTATTTCTCTGTTTTAAAAGAAATGTGATCACTAAAAAAAAGTATAACTATTTTACATTCTTCCTGCATGGAATTGAGAGGAATCTTTAAAAAATTAAGCCTGTGAATCTGCAAATTCCATGTGAATGCAGCAAAAACAATAGCTTATTAATCCAAGTTGACTAAACTTTGGCTAAGAACTCATTAGCTATGTGCATTTTTCTATACATGTATATCACAAGCCAATAAAAGTTTTTTAAAACCTTATTAGTGGAGATACAAATGAAACTGTCAAAATAAATCCTGAAAAACAAAATGTTTTGACAGAAATATCAGAACAGAGTACGAAGAACATACCAGAATAATACTACTGGTAATAGATGAGCACTTTTATGGGACCCAAAGAATCCAGTGATGCTGGTGATAGGCCACTGGCACTGGAAAACTGAAAACTGAACCCTTTCCATGTCTATAGGTATTCTATCTCAAGATGACATGAGCAAGAAATAACTAACGTTGAAAGAGCAGAATTGCCCTCCGCACCAATTCTGCCCTCAAATCAGAGTTTAGCTGCAGATCTACACCCAGTGTGGTAATGGTTTCTCTGCCCTATTCCTTTTTTTTGGTATCAGGGATCGAACTTAGGACCTTGTGCTTGCGAGGCAGGCACGACGCCACTGACCTAAATCCCCAGCCCTCTCTTCCCTATTCCTGCAGTGTGTGTCTCTGGGCCTGCCGTGTATCTGCTACCCTAGGCCCACTACAGAACAGCCGGACACCACATGCAGTTCTGCTAGCCCTCTGTGGTGGGTGGAAACAAGTTTGTTTCTCCTGGCCCCAAGAAGGTCAAGCTGCTCTGAGAGTGAATTGATGCTCCCATTCCCACTATAAGGATGCCCCAAGTTTAGTGCAATGTATACAAACAAGATACCAGAAAAATATAACTGCGTTGCAGACCTCACCCACACCAAACCTCTACAGGAATGAAGATCATAGGACTTGACCATCTAGTGAGTTTTCTCTCTAACAACAGTGCAGATCTGGGGTATGTTTCCCTTTTGATCCGATTCCTACAGTGCAGGTGACCTGGGTTCCATCCTTAGCCATAACAAACATGTACAGAAGAAAAGGTGGTGACTGTTGTGTTGATACTACTTTACTTTACTTACCTCTTTGACACTATGTGTTACTGCCCATATTAGAAAAACTCTTGACATCACCTGGAAAGAAGTCAGGACAACAGAAGATGGAACAATTCCTGAAAGAAATTTTGGGATGGATAAATAAAAGTACTATACTGAATTTCATCATATAATACATTTTCTAAAACATTTAAATTTAAATGTTTATAACCAAAACCATCTTAAGCAACTGAAACTTATCTATAATGCTATATTTAAATTTTTTAATGTATTCAATATTAAAAACTTTTTTCCTTCCTCAAAAAAAAATATTTATTGTTGCTTGTAATCTCAGTTACACCAGAGGCTGAGGCAGGAGGATCATGAATTCAAGGCCATCCTGGGCAACTCAGCAGCTCTTCCTATAGAAGAGCTAAGGATGTAGCTCAGTGGTAGGGCACTTGCCTAGCATACACAAGGCCTGGATATCCCCAATACTTTAAAACATGCGCACACACACACACATACACACACACACACAAATATTACTCATGGCACCACCAAACCATGGAACTGAGTCACCTTTCTTTTTTGGTACCAGGGATTGAACTTGGGTCCTTGCGCTTGCACAGCAGGTGGCGAAACCACTGAGCTAAATCCCCGGCCAAATGGAAGATGCCACCAACAGTTATTAATCCAAGTACCAATGCCTTTTCTTTTCTTTTTTTGGTACTGGGGATCGAACTCGGGTCCTTGGCCTTGCGCAGCAGGCGGCAAAACCACTGAGCTAAATCCCCGGCCCTTGAGTCACCTTTCTTAACTCTTTCAAAAACTAGTGACCAAGTACAGTACATTTTCCACTTACAGAGAAAACAAAAACCACTACCTAATCTTTAAACAGGACAATGAGGATTCATGGTACAATATGGGTTTTAAAACAGTAACAATGGGGCCAGAGATTTAGCTCAGTGGTTCCGCCGCCTGCCTTGCAAGCACAAGGACAGAGTTCGATCCCTGGAAACCTCTCCCCCCCCAATCCCAGCAACAATGGGCAAGAAATCAATCCTATTTATGTCTATCAATGTTGAAAGCTCCTGGATATCAGACAAGACATTCTTTTTTTTCTTCTTCCAGTACTGGAGATTGAACTCAGAACCTTGCACTTGCAAGACAGGCACAGTGCCACCGAGCTAAATCCTCGACCCCTAGACATGACATATTCTTTAATGGTTAAGTTGGGAATCTTTTATTATGTACTTGATAATAAGCAACAAGCACAACAAAATGAAAGATTGTTATTTTTATAAACATTTCTTCTTTCCTTGTTCATTAAAAGCACTGGTACAATTATCTTCCAATGTCCTCAAATTTTTAACACTAGAACATCTTTATTTTGGATAATCACTAAATTCTGTTAAGTGTACATTTCTTTGGTAAATTAGTGGTTACCTGAGGCTGGGAGGTTTGGAGGATAAGGGGAGTGACTGCTAATGGATTTCTTCTTGGGGTATTCAAAATGTTCTAAACTTGACTGTGGTAATGGTTGCACAACTCATTATACACTCTAAAAGGGTGAATTATATCTGAATAATGCTGTTATTAAAAAATAAGCATATGAGTGAAGTACAAAGCCTGGTTATATAATTATGTAATACAGCTAAAGAAGCTAATTAGTGAATCAAGCATGTAGTTAATATACTTAGCCAGATCACACTTCAGGTAAGAAAAAGTTCAAACACACACACACACACACACACACACCTGAGAAGTAAAAGACTGCTTGTGAGTTACAGTATTAAGTATTCATTGCTCAAGGAAAGACCACCACCAATTCTAGCTACTGTTGCTTTTTTTTTTTTTTTAAACTCAAAGACCAGTTCATCACACAAAAATATAACTTTTCCCTTTCATTTTTGTGCTCTCTTCCTTCATCACTGAAGCAATGGCCTAGACTGCTAGGGTTTCCAATAATAATGTTCCAAGGTTGTTGCTATATCATGGTAGAGATCAAGAAACCTTCTCTGATCCCTTTCACCAGCAAAAATCAGGCTTCCTGAGCCTGACTCATACTAATCAAATCCACAAGAGACTAGTGACTAAATCCAAATGTCAATTTTATTTATTTATAATGGTGCACAACCTTTATAATAACTGAATATCAGAATTTTTAGAGAACCTCATCAAGAGATATTCTTTTCTGGTGTCAAAATCAGAATGCTTAGTGTGACTTTAAACAGAGGGATCTGAAAGGTCTAAGGAAAATACTGCAATCCAGCTGAGCACAGGATTATTAATTATTCCTTCTCTACTTTTAATAAAGCACTCTTTTCTGAGGAATGACTGTATTTATCTTGCTTTCAAAAATGCTAAACAAGGGGCCGGGGATTTAGCTCAGTGGCACCCCACCTGCCTAGCAAGCGCAAGGTCCTGAGTTTGATCCCTGGTACCGCAAAACAAAACAAAACAAAACAAAACAAAAATGCTAAACAAAAATTATCAGAATGCTTTTCTTAAAAACAAGTTTCAGTATCCAAAAACAACAATGTACTCTCTGATATATTTCCTGCCAGTCTTTTCTTCTAAGTATATTTTCTTTTCTTTTTTTGTGGTGCTGGGGATTGAACCTAGGGCCTTGCATATACTAGGCAAGTGCTCTATCACTAAGCTACATCCCCAGCCCTTCTAAGCATATTTTAAAACACAGTTCAACTCCTATTATTTATACTTTTTGAATTTTGTTTTTCTCAGTCAATATTTTAAGAATTTTCTCTTATGTTCTTCAAAACATTTATCATGACAGTCCTTCAAGTGACTATATTACATTTGTTTATTCTCTTTCGGTGCGACAGTTAAATTGCGTCCATCTTTTTGATTCTGTAAGTGAAGGAATGAAATATTTCAAGTAACTCTTAGAAGTTTTAGAGGCACAGGCATTTTCCTAAGGAGTTTTTCCCTTGGCACAGTTTCCCAGAAGTACAAGTACTAGGTCAAATTGTATGAACATTTTTATGGCTCTTGAAAAATATTGCCAAATTACTTTTTTAAAGTCTGTGAAGAATTTATACTCCCGGGAAACCCATTCGAGATCCCTGCTGTCTCTCAGGAGCTATTTCCTATTCCCCAATAAATTTTCCTACTCTTAAAAAAAAACAAAAAAGAATTTATACTCCCAACAGCAATATACAAGAATGCACACCCTTGGCAGTAAATTTAAATCTTAATAATTAGTGAATAAAAAAATCAATGCTTTCTAGTTTGACTCAGGTGCTGACATCTTTGGCCTTGCCTTTAAGGGTTCCTGCAGCCTTGAACCAGAGAGCCTGCCTACTTAGGCAGCCTGATTTTGAGTGATGTTACTCATCAACCAACTCTCACTTTTTTTTTTTTAATGGCGTATGGATCCACCTCAGCCAGTCACCAAGCAAGCAACAATGCACAACATCTTCACCTGATAGCACAGTCTCACAATGCCTGTTGGAATGGACCAGTCAAAGGCAGTAGGGAGAAGGGGCCCTTCCATAAGGACGACTGTCTGAAGGCTAGAAGTTCTAAGTCTATTCATGGGTTGTCGTTGAACAAAGAGCAAAAGGCTCTATATTAAAAACTTCCAGGGCCAGGGATTTGGGTCAGTGGTTCCACCCCTGGCCTCCCAAGCACCAAGGTCCCAAGTTCGATCCCCAGTACCAAACAAACACCAAAAAAACTTGCTACCTTACATGCTAGAGGAATGATATACAGTACTATATAATGTCCACCCTTAACACTGTAATTCAAAATTCCTTATACAAAGCTTCTGGTGGGAAATTTATTTTAGAACTTAATGTTATACAATGTTTCTTTCTAATGTTAAGAATTACATAATTCAGTCACCCTTTTCAACTTGATAGCCAGAAAGCTTGGAACCAAATCTAGAGCATACTACATTATTATATTTTGTGTGTAAGTTACCAGAAATCTTTGTGGGAACAGCGGTTTTCATACTGGCCAAAAAGTGGAAACGATACAAGTGACTATCAACAGATGTATAAAATTTGGTATATCCATAAAAAGATTAGAATCAAATATAAAGAATAAGTAAAAAGCAATGTGCTGTAGTAAGGACAGTGAGATAGATTAGACTCTCCTTCCTTTCTGCTTCTTGCAGTCAGCCTCTCTATGTTCACCTTTATAAGCTATTATCCCTTATGTGAACACAATGGGGTAGCATTTCAAAGCCAAACGTAGATTTTTAAATTGATAATGATTACTTAAATTAGTGTTTTCAGATAACAAAAAGATTCTGCAATCTTATCAGGACACTCTCACTAGGTCAAACTTCATTCCAATCCAAAAGGATTTTTACTAGGTGCCTATTACTTGTTAATTTATCTGATAAATATTTTTGCAGCTCCTGTTCTGTGCCAAGTACTGTTCTCCACACAGGGACACAATGGTGAGGAAGACAACACCTACATGTGTGCTCGGGGACAGCTCTGATTCTCAGGGCTTTCTCCCCAAGGTGAGGAGAGGGTATTAAACGTCTGTAAACAGGAGAATGGCACAATCTTGGTTGGAAACACATGTCAGTGCAATCTTAGGCAAGGCAAGAGTATAGCTTGTGAAATAATTATGGGAATTTATGGAGAAAGGGCAATGAGTTTGTAAAGCAATACACTGGGAGATTAAAAAAGCAGTGCCGGGAAAAAGAAAAAAAAAAAAAAAAAGCAGTGCGTGCAGGCCGGAGATTTAGCTCAGTGGTTCTGCCACCTGTCTCACAAGCACAAGGTCCCGAGTTCGATCCCTGGTACCAAAAAAAAAGATTTCTTCCAATATTCTTCCCGAGTCCTGTTTGAGTCTCTTATTGTAAAGAACGCATTATTAGCTGACAACTTTTCATGTAACTATCAATCCATGCCAAGGACAAAGGTTGCATCAAATGGGGTCACATTTAGTAAGCAAAGTTGTATAAAGGGGATCTGGCAATCGGTAGCTTGCTTCCACAGAACCACGGTTCTCTGAGGACTCCCTAAACTGTTGAGCCCTGCAAAGCTGGGCTGCTCAGAGCAGCCCTCAGACAGGCTAGGGAAGAGGGGCTGGTAGACGGTGTATGTGACCAAAACTGGCTAAAGGTTAAATATCTGAAAGGCAAATCAAGGTT